TTGATAACTTGACTACAGCCTTAAAATATCACCAATTAAGTCTGATAATATGTTGGTATCATGGCTTTATTAATTTATTTTTAACTGGCTAATTGATTTAATTATTTGATAACTTGACTACAGCCTTAAAATATCACCAATTAAGTCTGATAATATGTTGGTATCATGGCTTTATTAATTTATTTTTAACTGGCTAATTGATTTAATTATTTGATAACTTGACTACAGCCTTAAAATATCACCAATTAAGTTTGATAATATTTTGGTATCATGGCTTTACTAATTTATAATGAAATGTGCAGAAATCAAAGTTTCACTTTTATTTGCATAACGATAGATAAAAATATTGTGTAAAATGAATTATGAAATATTTTTTGAGTTTTAAACCAATTTAATTAAATAACTTAATTCAATACATTTTAAGACAAATTGTATATAGTATGTTACACGATAAGCTTAACATCGGGCTAGTTATGATGTAATATTTTGACCTGTTAGGGCTGGGCGTAGCAATGTGGTTAGCCTGCCGAACTACGAATCATGGTTCGCGCCCTTCTGACACACACAAAAAAGAGGTCCGCACCTTGAGCCTGTAGTTTCGCAAGAGGAGTGACAGTCAAATCGCAGTATTCGATCAAGACCAAAACTAACCCAATAGTTAGCGGTGGGTATTATTGACTAGATACCCTAGTACTAGTATCTCACTTCAAAATTTGGGACAGTTGTGCCCATATAGCCCTTGTTTAGCTTTGCGCAAAGTTCTAAAAACAAAACAAACAAATGTACCATTAAATATTATTATTTTGCAGGCGTTACTAACTTAAAAACTGTTATTTATGTGATGACTCACTGCACATAATAGCATTTATATGTGATTCTAGAATCATTTAAATAATTTGTTTGTTTGTTTGAAGTTAAGCACAAAGCTACACAATGGTCTATCTGTGCTTTGCCCACCACGGGTATTGAAACCCGGTTTTTAGCGTTGTAAGTCCGCCACTGGGGGGCTGATTAAATAATAGATAAGTGGTTTGTTTGTTTTAGAACAATGCCCATAAGGCTATCTGTTGTGCCCATCGCGGGAAATCGAACCCCGGATTTTACCGTTGGAAGTCCGTAAGCTTATCGCTGTCCCACCTGGGGTCAAGTGGAACCACGAACGATAGATATTTTTATGTTAGTAAAATTGTATGATGTCTTTAAAATTCGTCCAAGTATGTTAAAATCTGTTACACGAATTACCAATGTGTTAAAATATATTATGATTATAGAAAACTAAAACAATTTGTATGCTGCTAAACAGAAAGTTTAATTGAGTTTCTTATTGTTTTTACAATTTCAGGCTACGAAGCCCAGGCTAATATGCTGATTGTCGTGCCAGCCAATCGTGACAGACCTGCAGAAAACACGCGACTATTAATAGTGAGAACGTCATCAAAAGAAAAAAAAACACAGACTAACTTTTTCCTATAGAAAATTAAATTTAGTCTGGTAAGTAAAAACAAAAAATGAAGGTTAAATCTGAAAGATCAGAGTCGGCTAAGATTTGATGACAGAATGTATCTGACTGACTGATGACGGGAAGCCTAATTACTCAAAATTGATCGTTGTAGACAAAGTCGTGTGAACAGAAAAATCATATAATTTTTGGTGGAAGTAACTCATAATGAAACATAAACAAAATAAGAACGTCAGATTTGTGAAAAAAGTTTCAACTCTTTTTTTGAAATTAGGGACATTTGATTATATATATATATAATTAGGACATTTGATTATAAATATATATATATATAATTAGGGACATTTGATTATAAATATATATATATAATTAGGGACATTTGATTATAAGTATATATATATATATATAATTAGGGACATTTGATTATAAATATATATATATATATATACAATTAGGGACATTTGATTATAAATATATATACAATTTCATGCACTAACGAGATTTAAACTTAAGAAAATGTTTTGTTGTTGTTTCATAAAGCATCACTATTTCTAGTAAAGGTTTTTTTTTCATAAGCAATGGTATATATCACAGGGAACATTAGAAAATATATTATCTTCTTGTATCAACTTTTTTAAACTGCATTTTCTAAAATATCGTACAGTTGCAAAGTCGTTAAAATTTGCGATCCTCAATAGGATTAGAATACAAATGTTTATAAGGATATGGATATTGTTTGGTTTCTTATATTTTTTACGTGACGTTCGAATTGCAGGTAAACAACGATCAGATTATGTTGACTGTACACCTGGTGGAGAGTCATTAAAGAGTGAAAATGTGTCGTGGAATTGAGATCTGCAGCAGTTGGCAAGATGGCTGAACATTATTAGGAGATTTATCATCACTTTATGTATAATGAATGTATATCATTGTATGACTTTTATTGAGAAGTCAGAAGAAGTCGTGTTATCTAGTTGTGCCACTGTCGTTTTATAATTCATATAGCGTAGTGCAAGCTGGAGGTTAAACATGCTTGGTAGAGAGAAACAGTTAGTATCCAGTGAAACTTCTTTATTTGGTCAACGTTTCACCTTATGGCTTTATCAAAAGGTAGACACCACAAGCTCAGACATAGAGAAGTCAGGCTATCTAGTTGTGGCTATTACCATTGTTTCTTTTATCAAGTTTGTCTCCATGGTTCAGATGTAGAAATTGTGTTCATAGCGATCTGTAAAATGCAACAAACTATCACCATAGTAACACCGCGTTAGTCCAAAAACCTTTGTCGAAATATTTATTCTTTTAATTGTACATGAATTATTCTGAAAATGCTTAGTTACTTGATATCGTCACAGCTGCATATGTTTCTCTAGATTTTATCAGTAACCTTTACATGCCATAAACCACCTTGCGCCTGAATATATATGTATGCCTATTACACATATAGTTACTTGCGTCATTCTACGATTCCCATGACTCATCTCTTACGCAGCGTCATCTTCAGTTCGAGAATCATGTTTCTGAACAAAGCATCACGGAATAACTTGGCCGGAATATTCTGTTTTCTCATATGGCATTTTATTTGGCTATTGATTTTAATTGTTTCAGATTCGATTCGTGCGATTGTAATTCACAGCTCATTTTAGAACCTGCTCTGTTTTTTTTATATTATTATTCAATTTTAAAGCTGAAAGTGATAAATCGATTTTTACGGTTGATATTGTGCTGCCATCTAGCGATTAGAGGTTCTACTGTGGCAGTGTGGTTAGCTGGTTGTGAGCTTCTACAAACAACCACTACCTGCATTGCTTCAGAACACCTCTAACTATCAACATGAAAACTGTTTATCCTTAAATGTATCCTGAATAACGACAAAGACAGTCTGCTAACCAATTTTAAATGGCCTTGTTTTGTTGGAGTTCGTTAAGCCGGTGAAAGTGTATACATTATCATTGGTATGATTTGTTCGTTCTTGTAGAATATTCGCACACAGCTTCACAAGGGTTATGCCGTCTCTAATTTTGAAATGACTATTCAACAGCGCTCACCGACAACTACTGTATGATCGAATAGTGGGATTTAACCGTCAATCTCATAGCGGATCCACTGCTCCAAAGTGCGGATCGCATTTCTGCAGTAATGGATCGCGAACCATAAATCATTGGATTCACAGTTCGGGCACGGCCGGCCCTCGATTGATTTGGAACTCCACACAGGGCATTATGACAAAAACAGCAGGTAAAACTTTGTGTGATAGCACCAACTACTCTACGTATATGTCTTATCACTAGATACTAAAAATTATGTGGTCCTTTTCATCTGTTACTATAGTGACGAAGCTATGGACTTGGAAGATGAAGAACTGACGAGTTTATTCTTCAACACAACCCTGGTAGTAGACAGATACGACACAGACGTGAAAATTCGAAAAACATTATACACACACACACACACACACGTGTCTATGACAGTCTATGTAAATGACAGTTTATATTAAAACGAAAACATGGTATTTTTTTCTACATTTTAGCTTCTAGCCCTTTTCGGAAATCGAGAACACGACCAGAGTTTTTTATTCAACAAAAACATAGGTTGTGTTTTTATTGTATTGCGAGTATAACACTCCAATCAGCACTTCAAAACCTAAAAAAACAAACGATATTTAACCAATTTTATCTTAACTAATTCGTTTCAAGACGCCAAACAAGAAAATGGGAAGATACACAGACTCCTGAAGAATAAAGGTAAATCCACATAGAGTTGAATACAAGCATTAAGTTCTTTAAGTATGTGATTTTATACGTGTTTCCCTTTCCTCGGTCAATGTTATAACTCTAACATGATTCAAATAAATATTTTGTCTTCCAGACGTGCATTAATAAAGAATACTTTACCTATACAATTTTACCTATACTTGGTGTGGAAACAATGTAGTAACCAGAAAACATTATAATTCAACTTAAGCTACATTTATGAAGTTCTAAGTTTTTAACGTAAATTTAATACATGTAAGTATATGTGTGTGTGGTTTTTTTGAAGTTCTTAAAATTTCAAACAGTTAGTGTTTTTAGTTTGAAAAAAAAAGCTTCTAGGAAACACTATTCGTGGAACTCTTATCTCGCGCTGGCAACGTGATAGGGTAGACAGTCTTAACCTCTACTTATGATTTTCTTCCCCTCGAGCGGGCCCTAGCAATAACCTTGACGTTATAGTGTTGCTGTGAGAGATAACATCAAGTTACAGGTGTTTGGAGTGTGGTATAAAAACACAAATTTAGAATTTCTGTTTTTTCCTTTTTGTCAAGTGAACATTTATCATCTAGAATTTTCACAACTTTTCCCCGTAAACATATTTGTAACGGTATGTGTAGTTTTGACAATAGAACATTGATCAAGCAATGTGGTTTACTTCCTTTTGTACAACTTACTTATTGTTCTAGGTCATTCCACTTCATAATCATATCAGCTTTTTCATGGGTAAGATTACTGTAAAGTACAACAGTGATATTTTTATACTGGTAGATCAAGTAGTAACTTGAGACTTTGCCTTCCCTAATTTTGCTATTTGAATGATAATCAGCGATACGAGTAGTATGTGCGCACATGACAGGGACGTTTATAGAACCTTCTACATAGTTCTCTACTCTCTTAGTCTGAAACACCAAGTTATTCAGAAATAACTCTAATTGAGGAGAACATCTGGAGACAAGAGCCAGTTAATCTTCAGTAAAAACATTATCTTCTGTCCAGTACAGTTGTTTGTTTTTAACTGTTTTATGTATTGAATAAAGATTAATATTCACGTTGTTTACATTGTGTTCAGTGTATCTCTAGCTTCACCACAGTCAAAGGCAGGGCTCAGTATAAGTCTGTGATACATTTCCTAGTCATTCCTCCTGTTATTTGTGGTTGCTACCAAAAAGTTAAACCAGTTCACTTGAGAATACCACAAAATAAGGTAGTGAGCCTACAGTTTGGTATAATGACAACTTCATAAAAACAAATCCTGCATTCTATTTTCTCAAGTGCATTTTACTGTAGTTTTTTTTTCTTGTATGTGCCTTAGATACTTTTTGCACAAGAGGAAATTTCATTTTCCACAAATTAAAAGACTTAATCAAGGGAAAAGTCCATCATTCAGAGTAGATACTGCCTAAAAGAGTAGTTAGGTTTCAAAGAAATCCTCATTTGAACGTTATACTTTCCATGACCACAATCTTGCTGTATTGGTTAATTAAAAAAAAAGAACTAACAGTACCTGGTGTACTTAGAACTGCTAACAGAATTTTCTCTAGACGATCGACCTTAGTGCACAGGATATATGTTTGAGTGGTCTGAGACTGAATGTTGCAATATTTATAGATGTTTGCTGATCAGGGTAGCGAAACCCCAACTTAGAACTGCTAACAGAATTTTCTCTAGACGATCGACCTTAGTGCACAGGATATATGTTTGAGTGGTCTGAGACTGAATGTTGCAATATTTATAGATGTTTTCTGATCAGGGTAGCGAAACCCCAACTTTAGTCGATGCCACGCAAAACCAGACGAAAGATAATTGAGAAAGAAGACACCAACTAGTAAAGATGATGATCCATGAGTCCCTCATGGGCCTCTTCAAGATGGAGGTATGGGTCGTGAGGAAACCTGAGGATGTGCAAAGCATCTCATCGTTTTGTGGCCCATTAAGATGGATTTGTATGACACTTGAGTACCATGTCATTCCACTTGACTTGTGTAATGTATCCACCATTTGTGAGAAGCTAATGGAGGAGTTTACACTCAGACAATAGCAATGGAAGAAGTGCCTAATTCTTAAAATGATATCTTAATGTTTAGGTGCTGAGACACGTAACAGTAAATAACAAAGTTTTGAAGTGTAAAGCAAGGAAGTGAAAACTTAAGCATGTAGGTGAAGTTCCTTGGTCATATTATGAGCAGAAAAGACCCTATGGACCCTCAAAGATACCAGTTGTGCGAGACTGATCCTGATCTGTGACCAGGCCAGATTCACAATTTTCTTGCATTTGTATCATATTATTGATGTTTTCTGACCAACATTTCTAAGACTCCTGCAATGTTATTTGCTGTCTCTGAAAATTATTCATATGTGCTTTAGTTGAAGCTCTGGTGTTGGTATACCTATGATGAGATTGCCAATTCCTGCTAGATACCAATGCCAGAGATAGTGGAATTGGAGCAGTATTGTCACAGTTCCAAGACAAAGGAATGTGTGATCACGTATGCTACACACACAGTAATGACTCCTGAATGCAGTTAATGCATGAGAAATGCTTGCAGTTGTAGTGTTTGTTAAACATTACTACTACTACTACTATTTGTATGGTAAAAAATTAACCATTTATGTGGACTATTTAAGTTTAAAGATGTGGAAGGAATGACTGTACATTGGTTCACAATATTCCAAGAGTACGGTTGTATCTGAGCCTACAGCAGAGAAACACTAATTGTCTTCCTGCAATGGTGAGAGCTTTTCTAATCATTGAATTGTTCTGATAAAAATCATACAGTAGGAGATTCCTCCAGAGGAATCACACACTTATCTTATCATTCTTATCACACACTAAGATGTGATTCTCAAGATGTGATTGCAGCTGGTAGTCGACAGAGTTCTTAGGCGGGAAATATTTCAGACTGCATAATGCGAATGCTGGATGCCACCACTGTGTTACATATACCTGTGTTAATGTCTGATCGCATTTTTCTGGCTGCATTCGAGTCAAAACATTAAGTGGCGACGTAAACATTGTATTTTTTGTTGTGCTTGCCAGATGAAAGTTAGATTATTAAACAAAGCAAACTCTACCAAAGAGTTACTGGTTCTCTAGTGCAGAAATAATTGCTAGTCTTCTCCCAGAAACTGAAAATAGTAACTGGTATGTGTTTGTTGTTATCAGTGGATTCACTAAGCGGATTGAAGCTAATTCATTGGCTGATAAGTTAGAACAGTCTATCATTAATGTGTTAGTGTAGTTCTGAATATCGTGATTTGGCACACCTAAGAAATGTACATAGACCAGATGGCTAAATTAAGTAGCTAACTAATTTCTGAGTTGTTAAAAGTGTTGGGTGTGGTGAAGATATGAATTTTGCCATATTACCCTAGTCTGAAGGTTTGGCAAGATACCTAATTCAAACTATCAAGCAGATTTTTGCAACTTTTTTTTAACCCTGACAGAACCAACTGAAAAAACAACATATATCCTGATGGCATATTGCATACTGGCCGAACAGAAGTTAACTGGTTGTTCTCCAAATATGCTCATGTTTGGTCAAGAAATTCAGCTTCCTATGTACATGATGTATGTCCCCTAGAGTAGATATGTTAGTACATGCTAGAATATGTAGACTGGTTAAAGTTTACATTAGTTTACATAGATGGATTTCTGCCTAAACAGCTAGGAAAAGCTACCAGACAGCAGAAGCAATGTGCCAATGAATGTTCGAGCTTGGAGACTGGATGTGGTTAGGGATCATGCCAGCAGGACCAACCTCTATGTCATTCACCAGCAAAATGGTTCATCAAAATACGAGGTACAGCTCATTCACAAACTACAGTTGTACATGACTGATAAACCTCTCATGCAATGGCTAGACCAGGAACCAGAGTTTGAGACTGATGAGTCAGACGATAGTGAGAGTACTTCTGTGTATCTTTTCGACTCAGCTGATGAGGAGGAAGATGCTAGAATAACTTATCATTGGCTGTCAGTGAGGAGTCAGATGAGGAAGCACCAGTAAAGGAGCCGAATAACAATTCTGATGATTGGCCGAGACACCAACCTGGGATATCTGGTATTAACTTCTAGACCAATAGTCACATGACTTGAAGACCAATCCATGGAAGGAAGTGGAACGCTAAATGGCATCAATGGTAAATTTTATACTGAGTATAAGTAGAGCTGTCTAAGAATTAACTGTTTAGCACTAAAGATGTTGATGATTTTTGTAATTAATAAATTGATTATCCAAAGTTTATTCATTTCATGCAGTGTGTACATTCGTATGATTTTAAGTACACACATCCTTTGATATTTTTAAGAAAATGTTTTAGGAAATACACTTATAGCAATTGAAATGGTTAGTTTAACATTTAATGGTTATTTTAACTCCCATAAACTACAAGAGGGTTATCTGTGCTAGGTGAACTTAGCTTTGAACTGATAGCTAAGAGGGAAGGCAGCTGGTTAACAACACCTACTGCCAAATCTTAGGCTACTCTGATCATGTAGGAGGATTTCATGATCATCTTTAGCCCCAAAGGGCGGACACGATGTTTTACCTTTCCGCAGCGAACCATTTGCCCTTGAATCTAGAGTCCAAGACTCTAACCAACAAGAAACGCCCGACCCCTCTAAATATATACTGTAGAGTTCTGAATACCATCACTAGTTATTATATAACACTATATATAAATACGTCACTGGCTAGTTATTATATAACACTATATATGACTACGTCACTGGCTAGTTATTATATAACGTTATATATGAATACGTCACTAGCTAGATATTATATATCATTATATATGAATACGTCACTAGTTATTATATAACACTATATATGAATACGTCACTAGCTAATTATCGTATAATATTATATATGAATACGTCACTAGCTAGTTATTATATAACGTTATATATGAATACGTCACTAGCTAGATATTATATAACGTTATATACGTCACTAGCTAGATATTATATAACATTATATATGTCACTAGCAAGTTATTATATAACGTTATATATGTCACTAGCTAGTTATCGTATAACATTATATATGAATACGCCACTACCTAGATATTATATAACATTATATATGTCACTAGCTAGTTATTATATAACGTTATATATGTCACTAGCTAGTTATCGTATAACATTATATATGAATAGGTCACTAGCTAGTTATCGTATAACATTATATATGAATACGTCACTAGCTAGTTATTGTATATTGCTATATATGAATACGTCACTAGCTAGATATTATATATCATTATATATTAATACGTCACTAGCTAATTATTATATAAAGTTATATATGAATACGTCACTGGCTAGTTATCGTATAACATTATTTATGAATACGTCACTGGCTAGTTATCGTATAACATTATATATGAATACGTCACTGGCTAGTTATCGTATAACATTATATATGAATACGTCACTGGCTAGTTATTATATAACGTTATATATGAATACGTCACTGGCTAGTTATCGTATAACATTATATATGAATACGTCACTAGCTAATTATTATATAGCTATATATGAATACGTCGCTAGCTAATTATCGTATAATATTATATATGAATACGTCACTGGCTAGTTATTATATAACACTATATATATGAATACGTCACTGGCTAGTTAGTATATAACGTTATATATGAATAAGTTACTAACTAGTTATTGTATATTATTATATATGAATAAGTCACTAGCTAGTTTTTGTATAACATTATATATGAATAGGTTACTTGCTAATTATTACATAATTTTATATATGAATACGTCACTAGCTAATTATTATATAGTTATATATAAATACATAACATAATGACTATAGTTATCAATATGCTACTATAGTTATTCTGTGAATCTATGTATTTGTCACTAGTTACTTCCTAAAACTGTGTATTTGTTACTAATTACTCTCTAAAACTTGCAAAGTTATATATGTGTCACTTGTTACTGTCTAAAGTTGTGAATACCGTCATTATTTACTGTATGAAGTTGTGAATACCTCACTAGTTACTGTCTAAAGTATGAGTACATCATTAGTTACTGTCTAAAGTTATGAATAAACCAGTAGTTACTGTCTAAAGTTGTGAATACCTTACTTGTTACTGTATAAAGCTATATATACCTGACTACTTACTGTCTATGTTTGTGAATACGTCTATAGTTACTGTCTATGGTTGTGAATACATCACTTGTTACTGTCTATGGTTGTGAATACCGTCATTAGTTACAGTCTGAAGTTGTGTATACCGTCATTCGTTACTATCTGAGTTTGTGAATACCATCAGTAGTTATTATCTAAATCTTTGCATACCGTCATTAGTTACTGTCTAAAGTTGTGTATACCTCACTAGTTACTGTCTAAGGTTATGAATACCTCATTTGTTACTGTCTAAGGTTGTGAATACCGTCACTTGTTACTGTATATGGTTGTGAATACATCACTTGTTACTGTATATGGTTGTGAATACATCACTTGTTACTGTCTA